TCCTGGATATCTTATTTGTATCTCTTACAAAAATCAGAAGCAAAAAATGAGTTCTGTGCTTACACCAAGTTTCAGATCATATAAAGTTATGTTTGACAGTATGTCTGGAAAGATATTCAACCAGAACACTGGTATACTCCCTTATAAATTGTAAAAAGATAAAAATAAAAACCCCCTCCAATTAGCACCTACTGTCTTAATAAAAGAAATATATTCTAATACAAATTGAAAAGTTTAAGTTTAGAGATATCCAGTACCTTTGTAAAAAGTTAAATGTGGTGGTTTATAATCCCAGTGCTGGGGAACCAGAGATGGGAACACTGGGGCTCATTGGCCAGACAGACCTTTTCTAATCAATTAGCCCCAAATCCCAGTGAGAGACTCTGTCTCAGAAAACAAGGACTGTGCCTGAGGAATGACACCTGAGGTTGACTTCTGGCCTACCCACAAAGGCACACATAATGTGCATGCATACATGACCATGAACACACATGTGTGCGTACACACACACACACACACACACACACACAACGTTTCAGATTTTGAGTTTTTTGTAGATTTGAGAATATTTGTATAGACTTTTAGTGGTTGAGAATTCCTAGTCTGACATACTACAAAATCCCAAACTGTTTTGAGTACCAGTTTGTTTGTTTGAGTACAGGTTAGATTTTAGAGGATTTCAAATTTCAAAACATTTTGGACTTAGATTTTTGGATTGGAGGTACTCAGCCTAAACAACCTTATAGAATTATAAGTATTATCAATAATAGCTATATGGAGTCTAGAATGGTTCCTAGTGCTAAGTCTATGGTATTATTATTATTATTATAAAAATCCAGGCGTGGTGGAGCACGCCTTTAATCCCAGCACTTTGGAGGCAGAGGCCAGGCTGGTCTACAGTGTGAGTTCCATGCCAGCTGGGGCTACAGGGAGACCCTATCTCAACCCCCTCCCAATTGTCTGATTAAAGTGTATCATGAAATTTTCACGTGTGGCTCTTTTAGAAAATTATAATTTTGAGGTGATACATTTGAAGCATTTAATTCAGTTCCTGGCATACAATAATTACAATCACTTATTTTAGCTCTTGTCATCAGTACTGAGTGGTTCTCAACCAGGGGCCATTTTGTTTCTTTGGAGACATTTAGCCATGTCTAAAGACACTTCTGTTTGTCTTTACTTTAGTCTTTGTTCACGTATGACTGTGTACACATACAGCTGGACAGTTATTTTCACAGTAGCAGCCCCTCTTGGCTTTGGTAGGGCCAAAGTGTAAGCAGTGTTGAATTTTTCTTGACGAGCATGTTGTTCATCGGTGTGTTGTGCTAGCTGCCACTGCTAATTCTTTCCTTCATTTCATGTGTACTTATCTAGTTCTGAGAGATCCTCCTTCGGGTGAACTGAATATGTAGGCCAAAGACCATGTACGGTGGGTACTAGTTCAGGTTCAGAGCTGACTGAGTATTTTTGGTTCTCTAACTACAGGCACTGCATTGGACAGTCTAAAGAAATCACTGTTTCCTACGTTTAAGCTCTGCATATACTATATTCATGAATTTGGTCTTAGCTGTTTCTCACCACATACATCTGTTATACTAGTCATATTTCATTTTCCTGAACTTTATTTACTTAGTATTTTAAGTCATTCATCTTAACTTAATCATTTAAAAGGAAACACAACTATTCTAAGAGGAAATCTAGTTTGACTTCGTATAGGTAGAATAAAGGTTTGAATACAGGTCTCATGTCCCCAAACCTGCCATACATATTTTAGAATTCAGATTTTTAAAAGATGTTAGTGTATCATGATTTTGAGGTAGACTCCCCTTAGGAGCAGAAAGTTTTTCTCTCGTGAAGCAGCTGAGCATGTGTAGTACGTGGGATGAACGGTGAGGACTCCAAATAGCCTGTGTCAGCTCAGGGC